GTATTTAACATTTGTTTCTGAAAATATGTGTAATAAATATTATGTAATTAGTTTATCACTGTTTTATCTTAAACAACAAATAAATATACGTATATCTAGAAAAAATTGTGCATCTTTTATATATCCTTATTTTCCAGTAAATTTTAATTAGTAAAGAAATAGCCCGTAAGATTCGCTAAAGTGTAGGTATGTAATTTGGTATGTATGTCCATTCGAATTTGCTGCCAAAAGATAATTAGTATTGACCCCAGCCCATCGAGCAAAAAGACAAAAGAAGGAATCTAATCGTTATGAAAAGGAGACCAAAAAAGTGGCCTCTGATGGCGGACATATCCGGAAATTCGAATGCGCCAAATTTAAATTTTCCGACACTTATTAACAGTAGCTATATAATATTTTTCAGAATGTGTCGTAGACAAGAAAGTTTTAATTAAGTATTAACGGTAATAGTCTAAAATGCGACACAATTGTTAAAAAACTTCAATATAAATAAGATTTCATGTGACATTTGGGACAAACAACAACATAACCCAACTAAATTTGATGTCAAACAAGGAGAAAGACTCTCTTTCCTTGTTTAATGTGGCCTCTAAAGATCGCACTTCCTGTCTTAAGGTCGATTCAGATACATCAGTCCCGTCACAGTCTCGGCGCCGAACCGGTCCTGTTTGGTCACAGACCTATCAACTATCTGACAGCTGGCAAACTGTTCGTCAACTGATGAATGTGAATGCCGGCGCCATATTTCTATTAAAGAATATTTTGTATGACGGATTGTTCGGTTCGGCGCCAGGACTGTGACGAGACGTGACTAATGTGTCTGAATCAACCTTAAAAGAATATTTTGTATGACGGATTGTTCGGTTCGGGGCCAGGACTGTGACTGATGTGTCTGAATCAACCTTAACAATATTTTTGCCCCCACCACCTCTACATTCCCTCTTTTGTCTTTTTGCTCGATGCCCTAGCCGGAAGGGGTTCTTATGAACGAAATTTATACATTGAGTTGCCTATTTATTTCTACTATTATATTATTTATCTATGGCTTGTACTTTCGGTAAACTCAACTTTTTAATGTATACCGGGTGGTGAATCGTCAAACGGGCCATAGGAAACTCAATGGGAAATTTTAAATTGTTGAATTGCTGCTTCCCTAATTATTTTAGATCAAAAGTCATAAAAAACTATTTGTAGAGGACTAAATTCTAAATTAAAAACAAATGTTAAAACCGTTCTACGAATCAAATGTACTTCAAAATTTTGCAAAAATATAATAGATTTTTCAGACCACCCCTAAAAGTTAGGCCACACAGTAATACAAGAATATATTATAACGTGTGTGTTTTATCATATTAATGTCAGATGTTTGACAATTTGAATTGTCAATTTTTTTTTATTTTATGATTAAATTATAAACAATGAATTTTACTAAATACTACTACTACTGAACAATATTACTTTGTGAACAATAAATTATATTGTTTACAAATCGATCAATATAATGAAATGTACTCAGTTGACGAAAAATCGCATAATGTTGTATTCAGGCAATAGCGCGAACCTTTTCCTGTCACTACCGGATCTTTATTTAACGTAAGATATTCTAATACACTAAAATTTAATTCCATGTTAAGTTAAGTTATACAACAATTCAATGAATTCAAATATACTGTTACTGTGATTTTTATTCCTAATAATAATATAGATAATTTCTAAACATAAAACTATAACAAATGTTATAATAAAACATGAATAAAACATTTTTATTATTGCTCTTTTCTCCTTAACTGAGTACATTTTTTTAATCAACTTAATTTTTTTTTAAATAATAAATCACAAAATTTTGGCCATTTAAATCATAGATAAATATAATATAGTTGATTTAAATATTGTCAAATATTAGAAACGTCAATATGACAAAACGCAACACGTAATACACATTCTTTTCACGGCGTCTGGCCTGACTTTTAGGGGTGGCCTGAAAAATGTATTATATTTTAGCAAAATTTTGGAATACGTTTAAGTCGTAGAACAATTTTAACAATTGTTTTCGATACATATTTGAGTCCTCTACAAATAGTTTCCCATGACTTTTGGTGTAAAATAATTAGGGAAGCAGGAATTCAACAATTTAGAATTTCTCATTGAGTTTCCTATGGCCCGTTTGACGATTCACCACCCTGTATGTGGTATGCTTCAAATATAAAGAGAAAGCTTGTTTTAAAAAGTATATTTTAATTATAGTATTTTATAAATTCTCCAATTTTTAATTTATATAAAACAATAACGAATAAATATTTCTCTCTTTCGAAAATACTTTCAAACATTTTTAGCAATCTGGCTACTGGTGGTTTGACAATTGCCAAATCTATCTGATAATCTATCAAAGGGCAATTGCCCTTTATTCAAAGGCCAATATAACAAGAATGGGATTTGTTTCTGCTGAAACAATGTAACAGGAAATGTGAGAGTAGGGAAATGTAACAAAAATGAGGATTGTGTAGCAATAGGGTAAACTCTCAAAATGTACTTGATACACCAACGAACTAATATGTGGAATAACAGAAGATGGAAGGGATTAGATAGAAATTAATTATGTTAAAGAAATAAATAAAGGGTAAATATGAATTTTAAAATATAATAAAATTAATGCTGGCTAGCGACTATGCAGGAGAATGACCACTTGACACTCAAAGAGGGATTCGGCCAATTTGCATGCTCTACAGAGACTGTAAGATATAAGAATTAATGGACTAGAAACTACCAAGAAATAAACAGATGAAAGATAAAGTTGCTCTACTGAATGTTTGGGCGCAGGAAGTTATAATGTTTTCTTCCGAGATATCTTGTATTGCTGAAATATAAAAGTTGGATACTAATTGAAATATTAAATTTTTAACCATAACTTTAATAATTACCAAAACACTTATGTGTTATAATAATTAACTGCAATTAATATCAAAAGAAACACATATTTACTCTTTCTTGTTTTATATAAAATAAAAATTGCAGAATTCATAATATAATATAATCAGAATATATTTTACTAAAGCTTTCTCTTTATATTTGAAGCATACAACATATTATTATAAAAACATGCCAACAATGCCAAAACCAAATATTTTGTTCATCGTTTGAATAAAGTTCACCTGTTAGGGAAACTTAAAAAATTGAAACTTTGTTTTTAACCCGTATACCAGTAAAGCTTCAATATTACACAGAATCCATGAGAAAATTTTACAGTAAAATTATCACTGAAGCCTTGAATCAAAATCATGCAAAGGAGCCTGCAATAAATAATAATTATTATAACAGTATATTCAAAAAGAATGAATGAAAGTACTGTTATAAAGAAACTGACTAAAAATTTGATATATGATCACATTGAAAACAAAACAACTAAAATATTTGTATGAATGCTATTAGTAATATCTATAAATTAGTATTGAATACAATTAATTATTTGTATTAGGAGAGGTAATTAAAAACAACCCTGAAACAAATATTAAAGTTATTATTTGGTATATAAATAAATCAGTCTTTATTTTACATATATAACAAAAGCCTGTTAAACAAAGACTACATGATATCTTCATGTATAAAATAATATCTGACTCATCAAATAGGAACAATTGAATCTGGTACAACAAATACTATACATAATAAATACAAATGCAGAAAACTAAAACAAGATCAGTTGAGACTATACATAAGAATCCACGTGTTTGACAATATCTGTAACATAACAAACAGTACATACATATTATATTAGTTTTTCTAAGCTCACTGAAACATAAATACATTATCAAACATTGTATGATGTTGAACATCCTCGAAAGGGCAATCTTAGAATCCAGGGCATGAAAATCATTTAATACTCTACAAACACTAAAAAATGAATACCAGTAAGGTTGCTATAATCTATATGTTTTTCACTCTATCTCCAGATTCCAGACATTGTATTGTAACACAAAATATGACATAAAGGTAAGTTGTATACAGTTACTTGAACTGTGTGAAATGCTAAAATACTTGAACAATAATACTGAGATGCCAAGCTACAGTTTCAGAATGTAATAGGAAATATAACTTGACCTCTCCAACAACACTGTTAGGAGCACTGATTATATTTAAAACACTGCATATGCATTTAAATATGAATTAGTATAAATCGACAAACTGAGGTCATTAAGGCAGCATATACAGATAAGATAATACCAAAAAACCAAGTTACAAATATTTACTTCTTTCTTAAGGAACCATTCACTACAATTTGACACAGAAGCGTTACCTTTTCTCTAGATTGAATTAAAGAAAAAATAAAAAAACATACCACCATCATTCATATTAGAAAACACACTATAAGGCAAAACAATGAGATTATTTCAAATGATTATACACAAGACACTCCTCAACTAACTATATTCTCCACATTGTTTATTGCTGTAATTCCACAGTGAAAAATATAAATAGGTTAAAGAACTACGTGAAAATCAACAATACATTTTCAGTGAAACGAACAGATATAGGTAACCAAAACCATAATCTTTTGAATAACCTTTTATAGAAAAAAAGTGATTAGTAACCACTTGGGAATTAACAATAATACCCAAACGCAAGTTTTTAATGAAACAATAATCCCAAATCTGTCCCATTCCTAATTTGAAGAATAAATAAAATCTAATGAAATTGCAGTTGATCTGAAAACTATGTGGACCCAAAATATATAAAGTGTTAGATACAAATATGAATAGCACTAGAGTAGTAATAATCATGAGTGATTGATTTAGAACTGCCTTTAAATAACAAAAAAATTCCTGTATGATATGTGAATAGGACACTATAATAATCATGAAAAAGTTATTAGAAATGTAGGACAAAAATCATTAGATTTATATGCTATCTTTTTCTCTATATCTTTCAACATTTTCAATTCGTTTTTGTTTTCACTCATTTCAGATCTTGATTCAATTTTCTATAAATTTCTAAAACTCAAAAAGTACAGTACAAAAAGTTTTATTGAGACAAATACCCCCTAGAATAAGCAAAACCCAACACTAATGAGGTAGCACTAACAGTCAAAATTAATATTGCCATGTAAGACACTTCGTCATCACTAGTTTTCACTTTTTCTTCTATTTTGATGTACTTCGAGCCTTTGGGAAGGTTTGGAAAGTACTGGTCATCTATCCTTTTTATAAGATTAGCCAAATTTGGCCACATCGACAAAACATTCTTGATTTCATTAGAAGGAAATGGAACTTTCAACAAGGGTGCAATATAGGAATACACCAAAACATCAATAGTTGTAGGAGAATTGCCATAAAAATAGTCCTCGTTACCTAATCGTGTAGCTAGATTCGACAAACACTCGGTAGCTGCCCTTTGTACATACTCCTTAATGAGGTCAAAATTGGTTTCTGTAGGATGTAATGATTCTAGTAAATCAACAGCCCTGTCTCTGAATCTCCTCGTATATATGTAGTTAAAAGGAATGGGAAGACTTCTCATAAACCAAATATTAGTAAGTTCAAAAGTATTTCTTACGTCTATCCAATAATAATACTCCAAAAGGGGCCTTAATTTGGACTGAACCAAATTCGTCAACGCCAATGATTCACTAGCTTCTTTCGGCGTTAGATTTCGGTCTAAGTTGAAATGCAAAGTCTTTAGGTACAACACTATATCACTGAATGTTTTGAACTTTAAATTTTTATGAACAAATGTAGGGGCTGTGTACAATGTGCAATTTTTTAAATTGTTGAATAACCTAACCTCAACGGGGACGCCAGCGACTGCCGTGTAGAGTATTGATTTTATGCTTTCTGGGTCAATGGAAGGAAGTGAAAAGTCGCCGTCGAACACTATTAACTGAAATTTATGCTTCTGGTCCATTTTCTCTAGTTTATTTTACGTTTTAATCACTATTTACTATAAAATAAATAGAATACCTACAAACTTCGACCATAACATAGTATTTGAAGTTTGACAGAAATGACAGCGGCAGTGCCAGTGCCGGCGCCAGCAGTAGCGACACACCAAGAAACACGAACAAATTAGCCATAGGCGGCGCGCTGAGCTGTTAAAGTTAATACATTTTTTTGTGATGTGTCTTTTTGGATTTACCATTTTAGAAATTATATATTTTTTATCTTTGAAAGTTTGAAACTTTTAATAAGTAACTTGAGGTTATGTTTTCTATTCCGTTTTTATGTAGAGTGAACTTATGTGATAGTTTTTGATTATCGATTTAGGTACTTGAAAAGTGAATAATATGTAGTACTTATAGATGAAGTAATAATTAACTACATGTAGAACTAGAGGATAATAAGTAAAGTTATTTTTTAAGTGTAGTGCGCTTATTTTCCGCTAAGGTGACAAAAATAAGGGGGCAAAAAATGGAAACATTGTTTTAAATTTCAATCATTTTTCTGTGATAATTATATGGAATTTTGTGAGACTACTTAATGTCCTGATTGAAAAAGAATCAATTTTTACTTAAACGAGTGTACTTTTAAATCATAATTAGATAAGACAATGTTTTTGTAATATATACTCATCTACAAAAATATCAAATATTTTAGAATTTTCTATGTTTTTTTTTTGAAATAAATGCTGTACGATCAAGTCGTTTATTTTGAGTTTGTTTTTACAATGCTTAATAAACAATTTTAACTTTTTATACAAAGATATTTGCGAAAAAGTAATGCTTAATATTAGGTTAATAATTTTATTTTACTCTAAACTTAAATACTAATTTGAATTTCTTAAACAAGTCTTTTTAACTGAAACAACTGCATGATCAGTAACGATTATTTCCCCTCTAGTAGCTCTTATTACTGCTTGTATCCTTCTCGACATGCTTTCAAGTAAATTTTTTTGGAAATATCCTTGGGGAATTGCATTCCATTCATCCTGTGCAGCAAGCCAAAGCTGCTCTATCGTATTTGGAACAGAATTTCTTTGTCATATGCGGCATTTTAGCTGATCCCACGTGTTCTATTGGATTTAAATTGGGCTAAATGGTGGCTAATCCAATTTTTGAATTTGGACCTCATTAAGATAATTACTGATATGGCATCGGCATATGGTTGAGCATTATCGTGCAATAACATGACTCTGTCATATTCAATGTAACCAACATATTGCAAAACATGATCTTGCATGATGTTTTGAACATAAGAGTCTCCAGTCATCCGTACAATCACGTCCAAGTGCGGTACGTCCCTCCCAACTAATACCTCCCTAAATCATTACGTCATCACCTAACATTCTGGGCGAAATCGCAGTCCTATCATCTTCGTCTGTGATGTCCTACATATCTTCGTATTTGTCAAATCGTTTATGTCGTTGTCTTCTTTTCAGTATGTCGCCTGTTACTTTTTAGTTATCTTTTTTTTCGTGTGTCTATTCTTCTTCGTGTCCGTCAATTAGTCGTCTGTCTTCTTTTTGCATTGACTGAAGCTGTTCTTTTCCAAAAATGTGAATTTACATTAATTGGAATGAAACTTTTAGAATCCCAATGTCTTTTTTACACCTTTTTCATCGTCAATTTTGGTTTCGTTAAAGAAATCTTCGCATTTCTACTTTGGTGCTGAATTTACAGTCTAAAGGTACATTTTTAGTCGGTCAGATAGCTCAGCGTGCTGTGCGGCTGCCTCTCATTCGCTTCACTGTCGAATGGTTCAGTGGATGTGGGATCGAGCCACCAGCTCGGTGTACAGAAAACAAAAAGTCTAACGCAGCAGTTTAAAATTCTAGATGAATCTGCGGCTTAGACTAGAATATGCTGGGATCTGATCGGCCTATGGCGGAGCAGTACGGCAAGAGATAAGGGCTTGCGTCTCGGTGATACTCCTCCATAGATCCCTACCGGACGGGCGTTAACGCATAAAAAACCGGATTAATATATATATATATAATATATTATATATATATTATATATATATTATATATATATATATATAATATATTATATATAATATATATATAAACGAAGAATGATCACAGCTGTCCAGTTATTAATTAGTATAATGGTAAGGTTAATTGGGTTAGCAGCTGAATAATGAAAGCCAAAGTGTGCTCTTTTCAACGACTTCGCTATATTTCGTTAAATTTCTTTAACATCTTCAGACGAATGCTACAATATGTTACAAAATGGTGAAATTGTGTATTTTACATAAGATGTAGTGAACACACTTACTTGTGTGAGGTTTGCAGGCAAAAGTGGTATTTGAAAGTTCCATGTTGAAAAACTTTTTTGAAGATTTTTTTATAGCAAAAAATAAGTTGTATGTGTTATATGGTGGCTTGAAAACTCAAACAATACAGTGCATTTTTGTTATTTTCCTCCAGTGTCATAGTACAATACAAATATTAAAACAATTGAACATTTAAGAAACAAAACAGTTAAAACACAACTTCATATCACATTGTCATTTTTTGGACCCGTCTATTCACCTATGCACAAGGAGGTGGAAATCTAGTGTGTACCTCAAGGTTAAAGTGTCTTGTCAGCTATCATATTAGTAGATGTCAGCCAGAAAACTAAAGCTGTGTTCAGTTCATGTGTAAAGTTACATTTAATTGAAAATTATGTTATGTTAATTTAAGACAATTAAATTCTGTTGTTAATAAATATATATAGAATTTATTTATTTCTTTGTGATTATTTCTTTTAAAGTTATTTTAATTTATTGTTATTACTCTTAAGAATTTTATTTCCTGGAAAAATGCAACAACAAATTCCTATCCACCTCTTCTTTTAAAAACACTTTTATATAATACTACTCACGTAACATCTATCAATCTAACTACCTCCCAAACATTCTAACATAGCAAGTACAAATTCACAGAACACGGTTACCAGTCAAACCCTTCCAACTTATTGTGTGCTGCCCCTACATACGGGAAACTAACACCCAAAACTAACTAGAATCTTTAAATCATATGATAACATCAAAATAGCCAATAAAAACAGTTTTAACAGTAAACTCTATTTTCTCAAAAAATGAAAGATCGTACTCCGCATGACCAAATATCTAATGTTGTTTACAGTATTCCTTGTATGGACTGCAATGGCAAGTATATCGGCCAAACATCTAGACGTCTTAAAGACCGTGTTACCATTCACAAAAGTGACTGTAGACTTTACCCAGATAGATGCACCCTAGCCAACCACGTTCACACCCAGAACCACAGAATGAATTTTGCAGATGTCAAAATCCTCGAAAAAGAAACAGCTTATAAGAGAAGACTTTTTTTAGAAATGACCCACATAGCAACAACAGATAATATAATCAACACAAAATCAGATATACAACACCTTAGTGAAATTTATTCCTTTCTACTGCAGTTGGAAACAAAAAATAATCAAGTCAACGAACTGGAATATTCTGAATAGTATAATATTGTCTATTAAAACTCTTCTGACCATCCAATTGAAGTAGTAACTTAATCATTATTATTGCAATTGTTGCATTTTTTCCAGGAAATAAAATTCTTAAGAGTAATAACAATAATTAAAATAACTTTAAAAGAAATAATCACAAAGAAATAAATAAATTCTATATATATTTATTAACAACAGAATTTAATTGTCTTAAATTAACATAACATAATTTTCAATTAAATGTAACTTTACACATGAACTGAACACAGCTTTAGTTTTCTGGCTGACATCTACTAATATGATAGCTGACAATGACACTTTAACCTTGAGGTACACACTAGATTTTCCACCTCTTTGTGCATAGGTGAATAGACGGGTCCAAAAAATGACAATGTGATATGTAGTTGTGTTTTAACTGTTTTGTTTCTTAAATGTCAATGTTTTTAATATTTGTATTGTACTATCACCAACTGGAGGAAAATAACAAAAATGCACTTGTATTGTTTGAGTTTTCAAGCCACCATATAACACATACAACTTATTTTTTTGCTATAAAAAATCTTCAAAAAAGTTTTTCAAACATGGAACTTTCAAATACCACTTTTGCCTGCAACCTCACACAAGTAAGTGTTTCACTACATTAACCTTACCATTATACTAATATATATATATATATATATATAATATATATATATATATATATATATATATATATATATATATATAGGTACATTTTAGTGAACAGTCGCTTTTGGTTAAATTATGACTTATGGGGTTTCTCAAACAGGCGATTCAATTAAAATGTGTCAAGTCATAGAAATTTTTTTTCAAACAATGGTTTTCACTATGGAGTATCGGAAAAACACCAGAGAAAAACTTTAACCAATTAAAAAAGAGGCCGGAACGGTAAATAATATTGATAAAACATGGTTCTAGCAATATTATTTGTATGTTTTTGTTTCTATAAATGAAACCGTAGGGAGCATATGAATTTAACTCAACCTGTGACTGAAGGATGTCACTATTCGCTTGCAATGGAATGTAAAAAGTCCAACTGTGGTGGGAATTTCAAATTTTCAAATTTTCTAGTGGCTCTAAGCAACACATGACCTTCAATAGTAAGCACTTCCAGTTAATAAATTAAAAATCACAGGGGCGTAGAAAAAAAAATCAAAACAAACGAATTGTGTAACCATCTATAGCAAGGCTATATTCGTAATTTATACAATAGCAAGGCTATAGATGGTTACATAGGTCGAAATACACTTTTAAGTTATGTGAAGTAAAAGTCCTCTTCCACGAAGCCGTACGTTATTCCAGAGAACTGGCAAAAGTGCAGCTTTCACACGCAACAAGAAGAAGGAAATATGTGGAATTTATATATACAGGCAGATATCATTCTGGAACCCATTGTCGTTCATGTTGATGCAGATAAAATGACTAAAAGTAAGTTATGTAAAATTGATTAATTATTTAGTTTGAAAAGTATTTTCGTGAGTTTTCACCAAGCACTTAGGATGAAATTTGATGCTCTTGTTAATATCTTTGGGAACATACACGTATGCTTTGATGATGCCGTTTAATTTTATGGTGAATCTT